ATGTCCCCAAACCTCATGCTTTGGGAGAGATCTTTGCATAGCAGCAGGACTAACAATGGACACATCCTATCCCTTGCGGTAGGGTGGACTTTGGCCCTACTCACAGGCCGATCAACCATTGCGGTTGCAGGGGTGTTTGGTGCAGGCAAGACCCGGTCGCTGACCTTCTTACTTGCTTGGTTAGCTATCACCACGAACCTCAAAATTGGAGTGGTACACAAGGAGAACCCAGCTAGTAGGGCCATCACCTCTTTCTCCCTGGATGAGGCACATACACATCACTTCGCACGCCCAGTGGGAAGAGAAGAAGCGGAAGCCAACACTGCTGAAACAGCCTTTGACCTAGCCACCCATGATAGTGCTCACGCCATTCCACGAGCCAAAGTGGTTATCTCCATGTTCTGTTTGGTGCCATGGATTCCAACCCCAAGCCTTGTCAGACTGGCGTGGTCGTGGTTTGGATGGTCGTTTACTAGAATTTGCTTGTTCAGGCATCCACTTCCTGCCACAATGGCACTAAGGGTGACCACCCAGGCGATTCGTAGAGATCCACCTGCCACAGCCACAAACGAGGTCGCTACCATGGCTCATTCTGACCTCAGTACTGGGCACGAGTAGCACCACGGAGCATGAAATTCTTTTGTCGCGCAAAACATTTCAAGCAAACAGCTTTCCCTCAGGGACGGCATTGCGTGCAACCCCCGACCTGTTGCAGGCACACAACCTTGCTATCTGCAAGCAACGCCATGACTGGGTTGGCGCCTGTCAATCTTCGACTCATCCCAAGCTGCAGGCTGATGTTCTTGGCATCATCCACGCCCAGGTTGTTTCACACTGAAATCATCACAGTGCAAGGAGAAAATTTACCTCCAAGAGATACAAGATTTCCTGGGACCGTTGTCGGTGGCGTTTTGGTTTTTGTTGTGTTTTTGGTTTTGTTGTTTGGGTTGGGTTGCTTTTTGGTGTTTGGCCCCAGGAAACCTTTAACTCTACAACAGCTGACCTTCGCATTCTTTGCGATTACTGGCAGCCGCACGCATGCAAAAAAACTGTGCGCTGTGGAGAGCTGCTTCGAGATTGAAAAACATTGTAAGCATCTCTAGAACGTTTTTAGTGATCCTTCACGTAATGTTTAGTGATCTTACATGTTCTGTGTGCCATTTTGGTTTTAGATTGCTTCTGTCAAACATTTGCATCCCATACATGTCCGCATGAAGATTTTCACTGGCCCGCAGTGGCCCAAGGTTCGCTCTTGGAAAAATAGCGGAACCGAGCGGAGTCTCGGCTCCAGCCGCTCCACCTCGCCGGGTCCCATGCCTGATGGCCATGGTCTTCTTTCTGATGATGCTAAGCGATGGTGTTGAGCCCATGTACGACATCTTGGACGGGGAGGGGACACTGGCGGACTTCCCCTTTCAAGTACATGATGGACGAGCAGGACATGGCGGAGGACAAGAATGGTGGCAGGGATTGGTGCCCTGTGAGCGATGGCTTTGACTTTGCCCATAGCAGCATGATGGACTTTGAGATGAACAGGATTCTTGCTGTTGAAGGTCTTTGGACTGGCGGTCAGCTGAATGCTGAACCTGTTGAGAGAAGCTTGGCTTCTCGAATCGAAGATTGGCCCTCCGACTGATTGTGCGTCGAGGACTTCAACACAGAGACGGTCTTGGGGCTTGGACCACATGGAGAGGGGCCGTGAGAGCTTCATGCAGAACAAGTCCACGGTCGGTCACTGGCTACTTCCTAAGGAATGTCAAGATGGCTGAGAATGTCATCGGTGGTTTGGTCTTCGACCTCGAGCGCTATTCAATGATCTTGAATGCAATGGTGGAGAACTTTGGTGGTTGGGAGGTCTACATGTTCCTGAGCCTCTTCTTGATGTTAGGACTGTTAGGAGCTGAGATGATGCGAAGACCCCAGACAAGATTGAGGACCTTGGTGAAGAGACATTATGAGCCCAGGGGCAGAATGAGGATGAGACGTTTGATCTTTTTGTCCTTGTGGACTTCAGGCCAAGCCATGGACAGTGAACAAGTTCAGAGAATGTTCAATCACCTCTTGCAGTTGACAGAGGCAACGATGACGACAGCAAGGTCTTCGGCTATGGTGGCAGAGAAACTTGATCGAAAGGACAACAAGGGCAGCTTCAGCGAGGCTAGCAAGGTTCTGAGATCACCTGAGGCATTTGAAGCGGGTGACCCGCTCAAATTTGCCAGCTGGTCTGGCAATTTCAAGAATTGGCTGACCTACGGAGATCATAGATATGTGGATCTTTTGAAACAAGCCGACGTGTTGGACGAGCCTTGCGCTTTGGCAGAGTTTGCATCTGAGGAGGTTGTTGAGCTTGGCCATGGGCTCTATGCCAGTTTGGCATCCTATGTGAGAGGACCGGCAGCCCAGTTTGTGGAGGCGGCTTCAACAGACCGCACTGGATTTAGAGTATGGCAACAACTTCGCAACCCTTACCTTCCTCGAGACGATGGCCATTGGCCAGGCCATCATGGGAATGCCACAGCTCAAAGCTGGCAAGAGCATGATGGAGAACTTGCTTCAGTTGGACTTGCTCCTGGACCAGTACAGGGTGGCTTCAGGCCACGCTATGCCCTGGTGGTCTCCACGGTCCTTCGTGGCGTGGAACCCAATGTTTGCAAACACTTGGAACTCATCCTGGACGACTCGGTGGACTACAGCGCATTGAAGGAGAAGTTGATCTTGATGGACAAGAAGTCAAGAGTCTGGTCAGGTGACACGTACCTCAAGCTTGTCCAGAACACCCTTGACTCCAACGCCAATGGACCTGCGCCCATCGAGATTGACAACGTGAACCAGGTTGGCAAGGGCAAGTGCAAAGAAGGAAAGAAAGGTAAAGGCAAGAAGGGCGGCTGGATCCCTTTTCCCTACAGTGGTGGTGGAAAGACTGGTGGCAAATACCAGAAGCGCAAAGGTGGCAAGAAAGGCAAAGGAGGCAAGAAAGGAAAGAAAGGAAAAGGAAAGTTCCATGGTACAAGCAAGGGCAAAGGTGGCAATAACGCCAACACTTGCCGAATCTGTGGACAACAAGGTCATTGGGAAATGAGTGCCCGAACGAAGCCGATGCTGTGACGCAGTCAATGCCTACAGGGAGCACTACAGGTGCATCTGAAAGAGGTGGTAAGCTTCGTGGCATCGGCAGTTCTTCTACAGCCTCAATCACCACTAGCAAACAAGTCCGGCAGGTTCCACTTTACCATGTGGCCACTCCTCGAGAAGAGACCTCAAACCCAGTGCTTTGCGACCTACAAAGTGAAGGAGGCGACAGTTGGATCTATGACGACAACTACAAGGTCAATGTTGTGTCTTTTGCATTGCATGGTGAGTCATACGAAGAGCAAACGAACGAGTGTTTTGCAGATAGAAGCTTTCCCTGGTACTCTGGTTTGCCCACAAGACGATATGTGATGGAGGAACATGACGCAGAAAAGCCAACAGTTTTCCATGTGAACATGGTCAGAACTAATGAGGAGAAGATGTTGACCGTGCTGGATTCTGGGGCTGATGACATCAGCCTCTTGCCTCGTACTATGGCTGACAGAGGAACCTCGCAGGTAAAAAACAGTGCTCGAAGATGCACAAGGTTCCCACTTGGCCACGTATGGAAGAAAACTGGCTCAGATCGAATGTGAATCAGCTGAGGGCTCTGTCATTATAGAGGATGACTTCATTGTGGCATCAGTCCAAACACCACTGGTGAGCATGGGCAGACTTTTGCAGAAAGGCTGGCGTCTCTGTCCTGGCGACACAGAGACTGGTGTTCAATTGCAAGCCCCTGATGCCCAGTGCATGATCCCTCTCCATTCTCGCAAGAACTCCCTAGCCTTGTTCGGCACGATCAATCGTGTACAACAGGTGCCAGATGAGCAACAAGGTGGACTTCCAGCGGTGAGAAACCGAGATGACGATGATGTGCTCATTGTTCAAACTGTGATGAAGCTCCATGACTTCTTTTGGGAAAGTTACGGCTTGAGAGCTTGGAACTGGACCTGAAGGCAATCCGTTCAAGTTCAACTACTCCAGTAGGTGCTTTGAGAATACCCAGTTGATGTGGAGCATTCATTGGTGGCCTTTGCGGTCAACACTCATTCGCAAAGCTGATGGGAGCTTGTTGAACATTGCTGTCGATACTTCGCACTTGAAGATCCAGAAGGAGAGATCCCAGAATGCAATGGAGAAGAAACACAGGTGTTGACGGTCTTGCATAAGACTAAGGAGCCCATTAAGTTCTTCGGGACCGTCATTGGTGAGGCGACAGCTACTTCAGGTTGGGTCAATGCAGAAAGTGATGATTTCCACCTCACTTCTGAGCCCATGGTGCCCTGCAGCAATGTGCAGTCAACATCGCCCTTGCAACTGCAACTGTGCTCTTGTGAAAGACGGCTCAGTCGGGTTGGGATTGCAGAGCCTCTGCAATGACTTCGGACTGGACTTGGGACTCTCTGTGGAAGGAGGTACCGTCACTTGTACTCAGCGTTGCGGAAGAGGGAACTTTTTACTCTGTTTGGTTAGCTTGTGACAGAGGTCAAACTCTTTGCAACAGGAGAAATGTTGAAATTCCAGGTTTTGTTTTTTTCCGGTTGTACAGTACTTGAATAAGAACTTGTGTTGGGCTTGGACCAAGCTGAAAAGGACCCTCTGCAGCGTCGATGCTGTGATTTGAGGGTCTATTTTTGTTTGTACTTGTAGTGACGCAGCTTTCCTTGTCACTTTAAATGTCAACTTTGACCGTTCTTCTGTTGTTCTGGATCATCTGAGCGCTTTGAATCTAAACCAACAAAATCAGCAAAACTGAGCGCACATCAAGTAGGGCACCTGCGCAAAGGGATGCGTCGTCAAGTTTTGCGACAAAGGCAGTCGACCATCAACGGGCACGTATATAGACAACTTGCAAACCACAGGTGGTGCCAACCTCAAATTTCATGTCCGCAGTCCACTTCAAGCACAAAGGTCGTGTGTAGGGGGCCATGGGAGTGTCGGATTTAGACAGACAAATCGAACAGCTGAGAAGGCGAGCGGGTGAGCTTTTAATCTTGTGGGGATTGGAGAGCTGATCGTTTGTATGGTACCTTTTGTTGAGTGGTGAAGCCCACTTTGTGCATTTGGGCGGGCGGTGGCGGTTGAAATGCAGATGGTGTTGAGTTTGCTGAGGTGTGAATACATCAAAGAGGCTGAAGTCAAGGCTGGTTGACAAAACTTTTAACTTTTAGGAATGCGTTTGCACTCACACATATTGTTTTCCTCTCTCTCTCTCTCTCTCTCTTTCTTTTTGTAGGGAAATTTCTTCTCAACGCTGCGAATTGTTTCAAACTCTTCACTTTGGAGGCCTTGTGCTCCAAAGCACGTGAGATCCTGGTGGAGGAATGTAACGTGCAGAGGGTTGATGCCCCCGTCACGGTGGGGTTTCCCAGCGCCGTGACAACTGCAACGTTTCTCAATGCGGCCTTTGGAGTCTTTTGGATTGGCGGCAGGAGAGGAATTAGGTACACAGTACACCATTGACACCCAAATAAAGCCATCCACTTCTAGAAGACCTTTTGAATTGCTGAAGTTCAAATGGTCAACACAAACTGGCTTGGTGGTTGGTCTTTTCCTGAGGTTGGGATGTTCAGGATCTCGTTGGGCGCCGCAAATATAATATACCTAATTCCCAAATGAATCTACCGACATTGTTGAACACACTCCAACTCACCATAAGCTGTAGCTGTAGTGACTGTAGTGAAGGTGTTTCTGGGCTGACCAGTTGGACTGGGTTTCGCGCAGCAATTCCGCGTCTTCTGGAAACAGTCGGGAAACCGTTCTATCCTGCTACCCTGAAAGGCCCTGTCGTTCGACAAAAGGGATGCCCTATCGATCGGTTTGGCGTTCTGTGAAAATTTGGCGCACCCAGATCTGCGGAGACATTCATGGGCAGTTCTACGACTTAGTGGAGCTCTTTAAGGTGCGCCGGGCGCTGTGACAGATTCTCTTTAAATGGCATCCAGTTCCAATGGGAGAAGAGGAGAGTGCCATGCGGAGGCTCCTTTTGCTTCTTTGGAAATACGATGATATAACCATACAAACTCCACATCTATCTTTATCATCCCGGACGGACGTGAGGCGATTGTCCCGACGACTTGCGACAGAATTGGCATCGCAAGCTGATGCTGAAGATGCTCGCAGGTAGGTGGTGATTGTCCAGACACCAACTACCTCTTCATGGGTGACTTCGTCGACCGAGGCTTTTACAGCGTCAGGTGTCCCAGTTGCCATGGCCACCGGCTGTGGGGGGGGTGGAGGCTTCTCCTGTGGTTGGTGGAGTCATCACCCTTGGCACCAAGGTAGAGACCTTTCTGCTGCTGTTGGCCCTCAAGGCAGGAGTCAAAGCTGATTGTTGAGGGCTGGAAAGCACTTTTTGTTCCAACAAGAAACACCTTCAACCATTTGCTTTCTACAAACGAATGTCCAACCACGTCTTTGACTCGTATTGATCAGCACACTATCAACACAGTCAAGCTTTAGGGTTCTCTGGCATTTCCAGATCCTTGAAGAAAGGCACATAGCAAATTCATGAGGGCTGAGCGTTGCAAGAAGAGTTGGGCCGACCTGCGGCTGTGGGTCAACATGCACAGGAGAATTGGGGAAGCTCGCCTCAGTACCGAGCAGACTCTTGATCAATCAAAGACCCCATGTGACAAGGTTTTTCAAGCCGTTTGTCGTGCTGTGGAACGCAGCCGACACATGCCGACACCGTACACACCTCTGGATGTGTTGTGTGCGCAAGTGGTGGAAGGAGGTTTTACAAGCCAAATGGAAGGGTCTTAGGGTCTACATGATGTCCCCGCACCGATCCGCACCGAACCACGCAGCTCCCCACAAGCGCACGCACCAGTGTGCGCCGCCGGGAGCTTCCGGTTCGGGCAGGTCCGCTACCCGGATCGAATAACCCTCATTCGCGGGAACCACGAGAGCCGACAGATCACGCAGGCCGCGGGGGCGAGGTGTTGAGTCGAAGCGTGGGGCGAGAGGAGACAGGAGCCGAAACGAGCTCACTGGACTGCAGAGATTTTTGGGGGAGGGTTCTTGGTTTTGCAAGGTGTTGTGGAGTCTACAGCTGGGAAACCCAAGGTGATGAGCTTTGGAGTGACAAGCTTGTGGTTGGTCATTTTTCCATGCCAGGAAGCTTTTGGGCTGCGAGCCAGAAACACTTTAAAATCCACTTTCTCCAAGAGCCCCAGATCCGAAACGAACACCCACGTTCCACAGCCATGTCCAGTTCGACCAGGGTCCTTCGACCTTCAACATTCTTCCTCTCTTCCTTCCACCCTCCGACTGCATGCGGCTCTCTCCAGGAGATGAAATACCAAAAGCATCACTTATATAAGTTAGTGACAAAAAGAACAGATATGAGACATTCCGACTGTTTTATAGACTTCCTTTTGCAGTGAGTCTTCCTGGGTTGGATCCATGTCAACAATCCTAAAATCCCTCCACGTCCCTCGAAGAAAGGGAACCCACAGACCTCACATCCTCACATCCTCTCCGGTCGCCTCACCTCCACCATCCTCCACCCCACCCCAGATCCGTCTCTTCCCACTATGAACCCGTGAAACGGTGGTTGATCGGTGCTGGACACGACGTTGTCTCCATGTTCAGGTCTATGGCTTCTACGATGAATGTTTGAGAAAATATGGCAGCGTTAATGTGTGCCTCAGGCTGCAAAGACGGCCGCGAACTCGCGAAGACAGGATGTTTTGTCTCTTGTTGGTCGGTGGTGATGGTGGTGTCAGTCTTTTCTGCTTTTCATTTTTTCCTATTTCGTTTGTGCAGCTTGGGTGGTGCTGTGGCCACGCAACTTACTGAGGTGGCGATATTGCACAGAGGTCTTTGACTACCTTGCCTTGGCTGCACTGATAGAGGTGCTTCCAGGGGTTTCTTATGGTTTCTGATGTGAACTTCTGAAGGGCACAGACGAACGCACTGACTTGGTGCTGGCACTGCTTGAGCTTGATTAGTTCCGACTTCCACCCGCCAGGATCGCATTTTCTGCGTTCATGGCGGGCTTTCACCTGCCATTAATACCCTTGACGATGTCCGGAGCATCGATAGAAAGCAAGAGGCCAGGAGCTTTGGCGTCTTGCGTTCGCTTTTGTCGGATGTGTGAGATAGATACCCGCCCCTACTCCTTACTTCCCGTTGCCGTCGACCTTCCACCGACGACCGAAGACCGGTGTGAAGACCTCGGTGAAGACGTCTCTCGTCTCGGTGGGGTCCAGGTGCCACACGAAGGCGCGATGTGCGACCTGATGTGGTCCGACCCCGAGGACGGGCCGTCGGTCGGGTCGGTTCTGCGCGATGAATGGGTTGGGGGGGGGGCAGATGGGGCTGGAAGAAAAGGAATGCAAGAAGAGGATGGGATGGGCAGAGGTGAAATGGTTTTGTTCAGAATCGATTGAATAGATGCAAATGATGGGTATATGGGAGGTAGAACCCATTTGACCTTTAGTTTGATGGCAAAAGATTACATTTTGGGTGGTTGCAACATGGTGGTCCAAAATAGAGGCCATCCAAGCAGAAATTCCGCCCACCTCCTGCACCGATATGGGCCACTGATGCCTTCACCCATGCCGAGCTGAGTGATCGGATGGGACCTGGTGACCTGGTGAACAAGTGGAAGAAGACTTTGATCTGCTTGAAATCGCCGATTCCGGGAATGGAATGAAACCATAGTGCCGATTTGTCCGATTTTTCCGATTGCCCAGTGACTGAGTATAGTCTACAGTGTCGTACGGACTGGAGTTCGGAGACTTTCCGCTTCAGCTTCTCGTCCTCCGTCTCGGTCCGGTCTTGTGTGACTCCGGGTCCGAAAGGGGGGGAAGAACGCCACGGCCCAGGACCTCGAAGGTTGGGGTCTTTCTCCCAGGGGTGCCGGCTACCTCTTCGGTGGCGACGTGGTCAAGGGGTGCCTCGCCGCCCACACCGCGTGGCACCCGCCGGGGTGTGCGGTGGAACTGCTCGGGCGGGACGGGCCCCGCAGGGTTCGGTCCGACCAATACACTCCCATCCTACTAGCAGTTGGCAAGGCTCAAACCTCGTCTTTGGTTCAAACTCCTAATGACTCCGACTCGACACGTCTGCACGTCAGGTTCAACCACACCAACGGCATTGACCTCATAGGGCGGGCGCATCAGCTGGTGATGGACGGCTACAAATGGATGTTTAACGAGGTCCCGGATGGTCCCGGATCGCCTCGATGTTCGCCCATGTGGACGGTTTTCGTGCAAAGTTCCGAAGCGCTTCGATGTTCTACCCAACGTTGGGAAATCACACTGAACACCATGGTTAGAAGGGCCTGTCATTTTACTTTGGTTGCGGACATGATCAACATGTGATGGGCGTGTCGTGCCATAGAGGGGGCCTCTTTGGAGGATTTGCATGTACTTTCCAACAGCTGGTTGAATAAACTTCCCCAAGTCTTTGAGCATTCCAAGACGGAGCTGCAGAAACAGGCCCTCGTGACTGTGTGGTCTGCGCCCAACTACTGTTATAGGCGTGGACCTCAGTGTGCGCAGCTATGGCATTATGAAGGGTCCACCTCCAAGTCCCTTCTTCAAACCTATTCAGTACCCCACGGGTACTTTCAATTTTGAGACTGATTTCAACTTCACATGTGACTCCATGTCCTGCTTGGTTCCAAGGGAGTCAAAGTCTTCAACTCCGGGAAATCATCCAAAACCACGGTCTCATGTGAGACCTCGTGCGACGGTGCATAACCGACCAACCCAACCGACCAACCCGACCCGACCCGACCCGACCAACGTGTGGCGACCCGAGGTGTGGCAATGTTGCGGCGATCCTCGAGTTTGACGAGAATCTGAAGCACTCTTTCCGAATCTTCGAAGTTGGGACCTCCCAGGTTTGGTCACTTTTGGCTTGGGCTTGGTCGATCAGGTTTTTGGGTTCCAGAAGCTCCAGCCGAGGCGTGATTGTCATCAGCAATGGGCGTGAAACACATGTGCTGCAAGTGAGTTCGAAAGCCTTTTCTTCACAGGAGTTCAACACAACAAGCTTTTAGAGATGCTGTCAGATGCTGTCAATGCCGTCCATGCAGTCAAGTCACCACACCAAGGCTGCCCCAGCAGACGCGCGGGGTGTGCCCTCCAGAAAATTGGTGCCCGACTACTTCTTGTAGTCGCCACGAAAACCTCCACGTGCCGCAACGCGCGCGCGTGAGCGCCACGTGCGCGTGAAAGCTCGGCATGTAGGGCCATTTCGCAGGTCAAAGGTCGCTGTGTGTTGTGAAGCAAAAACATCAAAAAACCAAAAGTACAAGAGAAGTAAGAAAACAAAGAAACTGAGACCGAGAGGCCAGTCTAAAGATTCACAGGAGCATGTTTTGACTTGGAGGAAGCTCCTTTTTTCTCGTTTTTGGCCAAGCTCACGGCCTGAAGAACAGCTTCTTCCGAGCTGCAAGTGTTTGGTGAGCCCGCCAAGGATAGCCGGTGTATGATACAGGCGAGGAGATGACTGTGAAACCAAATAAAGGGGTTCCAGAAACCAACTTGTGAACGGAGGGCAAGAGAAACAGGCGTAAGGGGGATCGCAAAGTGACATTTCAACTAGTGAGGTGTCTTGGAACCGAAGGATGTCAAAGCTGCAAGACGCCTGAATCACTCGTTGGTCGGTTCTCTCTTCTTCATCCACGACTGGATTGACATTGTGTACTGTACTAGATTCTAGACATAGTTCTTCCGTGATTGATTCATTTGACCTGTGATTGACAAGAAGTTTTGTGAACAGCTTCCTGGCAACAAGCCAAGGAGGACCAACGAGAATGCAAGCAAAAGGCAGTAGTTTTCTTTAGATTTGGTGCCACATTTGGAGTTTGGGACACAGAACGCCTTGCAAGATTTCTGGGGTAGTTTATTTGTCTAATGAATCCATGAACCTGGTTTGGATCTCACTCTCCATGTGCTTCAACGAGCCTTTGTTTGCGCTTTCGAGCTCATCAAGGTGTTTGCTCAGCGCTGACATCGAGTTAGCAGTAATTCTGCAAAGTCTAAGTGCAGCAGCTTCGAATGGCCTGGTCCCATTGAATGCTTGAACTCAATTCACCAACACTCGAATACACTAACCAAAAAGGAGCACCCTTGTGTTTTTTTTGTATTCTTGCCTGTCCATCGGATCTTCGGAAACCGCATGCCCACTGCATTCCACTTTTTACTGAACATGTTTGTGCCTCCAGGGTGGACTTTGGTGGTCTGTGATGGGATTTGGCCTAAAGATTAGACTTCGATTTATGACCTTCCGCTAGGTGTTCATTCCCTCGAACACATTATTGTCTCTTGGGCGAATTGTTCAATGCTGGTGATGCCGGTCAATATCCAACACTCCAAAACTGTGCTGCTGGCTGCCAGCGGGTAGGCATCCCTGGCCTCAGAGCACCCATTACTGCTGGTCCTTGAACCAAACTGCTTCACTGGGTGCAGGCTGTTCATGGGGAACCCCCAAGTGACTGCCGACTCCGCCGCACTGCCCGGCCAGTTGCGGGGCTCAGTGCGCGGGCCGAGCCAGTCGGGCCCAGCGGCGCCGTTGCGCGGGGGTTGGCCCAGCCGTGACCGTGGGGAAGGGCCACTGTGGGCAATTTCAGCGATTTCGACGCCAAATAAGCCACTAAAAGATGCAAGACCTGATGTTTTTAGGAAGGATGAGATGGGCATGGCTCAAAAAATGGGGTACCGAACTTACCAAACTTGCCAAGCGAAGATGTTTCATCAACATTCAACTAGCTGTTCGTGGGGATTCTTTGGTCTCAGCGAGGACCACACAGGTCCTCACCCAGCTTCGCAGATGGGCAAAGCTGTGGAAAAGGGTGCCTGCACTTCCGGTGGTTAGAGTTTGGAGCTTTGGTTGACTATGGTAGTCCAGTCGTGAAGTTTGTGCGCAGCTTTGGGTTCCTCGGAAGCCTCTTGAGAACTTGGGTTGGTTGCTGGTTGCGGTGGTTGCTGGAGAGCCCGGCTGGGTGTGACACACATCTTTTGCTCTGGACCTGCTCCGAGCCTTTTCAGGTTCCGTGATGCAGCGAGGCTTTTCCGCGTGGATTGTTTGGCTCATCATACTGTCAGACCGTCTTAACAACAAGAAGATCGGATATTCCTGGCTACTCCAAGCTTTCTGACGATGCACGACACCAAATGTGTACTGTGACCGCATGAAGTACAGTCTTACCAGCTGGTGGAATGATGTTCCTGTTCATTGGGGCTTGCGGCTTCAAATATTTCATGAAATCTCTAGTTTCTTCATGGATTCATAAATTATAGAATCGAGTATACAAGGTGCACCTTGAAGGCAGAAACCAGCCATATCGTTATGAAGCGCAGTCCTTGTCTTTTCTGTTTTTTCTCAGTCTCTTCTTTGTGTCATCCCCTGGCCCGTGCAACTCTTCACAGCCAAGCAAGTTTCAGCCTGACTCGAGCCACGAGCCACTGCGCTCCGAGCCACGCGAGCCACGCCCGATGATCCATGACGTCGAACTGGGGAGCTCCGCCCACTGCGACGGTGAGGACAAAGCTGGGGGCCAAGGTGGAGTGGGACAATCGATTGAAGCCAGAGGTTTATCCTTGAGATGAATCAGATGGGATCAAGGTTGCAATAGCTTTGCCCCGGATATACACATGGCTTAGCTTGTCTTCGTTTCCACCTGGGTCCATGTTGTTCTTTTTCAGCAACGCTTGATCAGTCCTGACTAGATCGCTTAAGGACAGAACATGTCCTGTGTGTCCAAGCATTGTGCGAAATTCGTTATAGGATGTTACAGCTCAATACTATTTGAAACAGATGTACTGGTTGATTGACTAGACGTTGGCTGAGCCTACTTTTTGGATGATGCGAGTGATGCCAAGAGATCCATCGCATCACTGGCATGCTTTGAAGCGATTCATAGCTTCGATACTGCTTTAAAGGGATAGTGCCGGGCAAGAAGGATCATAGAGTTTGTAGCCACCGGCTGGGCACCCCCACGTCCCAACATGGCCAGTTGTGAAGCGTGCGATCAAACATGGAATGCTCGGTGAAATCAGGTAGTGCCACAGGGTGCAAGGATCGTCGGAGCCTTCTTCCAGGGACATAGGAGGAGTTGATGGGTCCAAAGCCAACACCACCCCCAGAAGATCCATCCTGAGAATCAACAGCCAGAGGTGCCACAAGAGGCAGGCACTCCATTTATGTAACTTATATAACAAACGCCCATCCGCGACCCCAGGAGAGTGTATGTGTCTCTTTGCCAGACTCAATCCAGATGAACATGTGAACCTCGGGTGCGCGATATGCGTGATGCGTGACTCCTCCACGTGCACCGCGAGGAGAGAAGATCAGGGTCCACACGCCAATGGACCTCTGGCCATGGAGGCTGGGGAGGCCACACACGAGGCACCAGTGACTTGGCAGTATCTTTGGTGATTCCAAGTCTAGGAGATTCCTGGAGATCCAATGGGCCGGCCGAAAATGACAGGATGGACACCTGAGTTTTCGGAGGGTTTCCATTGGTTTCGTCTCGTTGTGAGGGGTATGGGTACCAACCAGGGAGTCTCAGTCGTCTCCCTAGAATCTGTTGGGAGGAAGACTGATTTGGTTATTTGGTTAACGGAATGTTCGTTTGATTTGCAGGTCACTCTCCGTTGTTCTTGAGCAAAACTGCACCGCTGGCTGTGTTCGCAGCTAGTCCGTCGGACTCCGATGGGGTCTCCCCTCCCACCGGAGACTCCGACTCGGCACCAACTGGGCCTTCTTGGCACCAAGTCTCATGAGTTGAGGTTGAGAGGAGCCGGCTCGCGGAGTGGAAGCAGGCTGGTGAGTCATGGGAGGGATGTGGAACATAGACACACATATGAACGCAAGGGATAGACTCAATGTCCTTTTGTCTTTGGACGTGCCACAAAAGCTCTTTATAACTAGGAGAGAACCATCATATTTTGCTGGATGAGCCTGGAGATTCTGACCAACGTGCATTGATTTTTCTTTTGGTCGTATCCTGTTTGAGACGCCTCATTCTTGATAGGCTGGACATGCTTTTTCATCGATTGGTCCAGAATGTTGAGAAGTTGAGATGCCATGTGTGACCATCCCCCTTGAAGTGGCAGAATGCTCAACAACCCCACTTCCCAGCGGGTTCCGCTGCCGGCCGACGTCTTCCTTTTTGGATCGATCCGCGGATCCGCGTTTTCACTCGGCCAGGCCTCAAAGGAAGGCTTGGCGGATTTCTTCAGCGACTGGTTTGGGGCGCTGCGTTTGCACCACCGAAGTGAGGAGGAGTTGGTGTCCGTGAAGCCGCTCTCCTCGGTGCAGGTGCGGGTGCGGCAACGCGCAACTGTGCGCGGGGCGCAGGCGAAACGCGGTGAGGACGGTAGGAAGTTAGAGATTGAGAGAGGTGCCCAGAGATTGAATAGATCAGCTTTTGGGAGATGTGAACCGATGGGACGTTGGGAGATGATGTCCATGAGAAAGACGTAGAACAGGATTCTCGTCAAGATGTGATTTTGTGGCGAATGGCACTTTGCTCGTCCTCTTTGGCGGATTCGATCCCGTGAGCGGCGATGGGTCGTTGGAAGATCGTTCGACCCGCCTCACACTCGTGGTCAACTCTATCTCTAGTCATGGATGTAGGCCACCGCAAAACCCAGACCACGCCAGACAACGCCAGACAACGCCGAACATCCGGACTGGAGAAGAAGAGAATGCCTTGAAGACTCTTCCGAAGGAAACCCTCCCAACACCATCCTGGGGCTCTCTTCCGCTGGCCAGGCCGCGGAGGCGACCGTGCTGGGGAAGGCCTTGAGCCGGGCCGGCGAGGCACGGAAGGCCAAGTTTCAGGTGGCCACTTGGTTGGCAGTTTAGCCCATCAGGTCTTGCACTAACAGACTTTATTTGGTTGAGAAAGGCCACAAGACAGGGGTAACATATCATCCAGGATCATCCAGGTGTAGTGGTTAAGAATCCAAGAAAAAAGGCCATGAGTCAGAAGCCGATGAGACCGGTCTGGGATCGCTCAGGGAGACCATGTGTTCTTTCGCTGAACGAGTGCAGCGTCAGATGGACATCCTACCGGCAAGCCAACAAAGGGAACACTTCCCGATTGCGCCAAGCCCATGCTGGAAGTCATTCCCAGGCCAGAAAGGCAGAAGGAATAGAAAGACTCAGATTGTGTATCTCTCGAGGGCGCAAAACTACGGCGAGTAGCTCCTTTCGGCCTGTCATCTTCCAGACCTCAGTCCTTTTCCAAACGCCAAAAGCTTGATTTCGTGCCACGCCGCCACCTCTTTTTCAAGCTTTCCCATCCCAACAGCCTTTCCCATCCCATCCGGCCTGGCCCTTTCCCATCCCATCGGGCCTGGCCCCAACCGACTCGGCCGAGGTCCAAGACCCCAGCGGCGGCCGGCCAGGACCTCCGCGCGGCGGCGAGCCGCCGGTGAGCCGGACGCAGTTGGGGAGGCCCAGGTGTGGTTCAGTCAGACGTGGTCGGTGGGGTCGGTGTGTGGCGGCTCGGTTTGGATGTTCGGGTGTTTTGAGGGGTAGGGTAAGGGGCAATGGCAAATCACGAGCCTGAGCAGCAAAGACCATGCAAAAACCACACTCGTTATATACATGTAAAGGCATGTAGAGCAGCAAAAGCCATCCCAAAAGGCTGAAAGTGTTGTGAAAGTGTTGGAAAGTGATGTGCTGAGGGTGGCGGACTATGCGAGCGGAAGAGAGTCTGCAACTGAGGGGTCTGTGAGGGCGAAGGATTGGATTCCTTGAGCAGAGACGTTCTGAAACCAGCAGCACCCAGTTCGGGTTGTTAGGGTAGTTTGTAGACCCCGCAGTGGGGGGTGGTGCTGGAACATTGGGTTCGAAGAGCAAGGAAGTCTGAATTCTGCTTGAGCACATAGACCTTCGCCAAGTGCGACACGCAGGCTGCAAGGCATGGGCTGGGGAGGCCCTCCCATCAAGCGACCCAAGAGAAAGGCTCCGCTCGTCGTGGGTGCCGCGTACTTCCAGGGGCTGGAAGCTCGGTGGCGGTCCACCCGTCGGTGGGATCGGGGGATCGAACGCGACCGAGATGCCGAGCTGATCGACCGACACCAGTCGAGGTGTCGCCTCTTAGAGATGAGTCGAGGTGTCCAAAAACCACCAGACTTCGAAGGTCCTGGTAGACCAATATGTCTCCAACCATGGGCCAATTGACCTAAGGACGTGGTGAAACTTGAGTCGTCTACTGTCTGGGACCGTGCACTGTCTGGGTGGTGAAGTCGTAACAACGGCCACTGACCGGTCCGACGGGTCATCCGGTGTCAGTCCAACTGGACCTCTTCAGGACTGACTCTGCGACGTGGGCGAGTTACGCTTCGCCAGGTGCCAGAGGAGGACCACGAGAGCTTGCAGGAGATGATTGACTCTCACTACAACCACCAGGATCCCGCACGGCCGGTTCTCGGTCCCGACCTGCGCAAACGCTCCCTGCGTCCCGCGAACGCTGAAGGGCCGATGTCGCCTGCATGCCGAAGCCGCGGACGGTGTTGGCTTCGGCTTTGTCTCGCTTTCTGCGTTCAAGATGCAACGCCTCCAGTGATCAAAGAGTGAGGAAGTGGAAGGAAATGGCTGGACCGGGGTCACACCCGCAAAGGGGTTTATGCACCTCACTCCCGCATCGGAAGACAGTGGGGTGTTGCACCTCACGTGAAGACATGGGGTCTCTTGATGTGAGGACACCGAGTTCTTTGTGATGCAGTCCTTCCCAACCTTTACTCTACTTCAGTGCCTTGGCAGACCCGTCAAACACCGCCTCGGCCGGCGCGAAGAGGTTGAAACGAACACAGGGCGTAGCCGGTTGACGGAGAACCGGACTGTGACGCAGGTGTTGGACAGGAGTTCACGCGACGAAAAGGCCGCTGGGCCACGCTGGGGCCGACTCGGTATACGGACCTCCACAGGACCTACATCGCCCCTGAGTGGTTTTTAACTGTGGGAGAGTCCTTTAGAGCGTGGACGCTCCAAGGTCACTGTTGATCTTTGTCTCCTACATCGTGCCACTTGGCGATGAAATGGGGGGCGGATACAGTTGGGGGGGAGTGTGGTAATTGGGGGGTTTTGCATGGGTGTCCGGGACTTGTTCCACTTCTCCGCAAGAAGTCCCACACAAACGTGTGTTCCGGTGTGTTTGTATCCTATCATCCACCGGTGGGAGACCCGATCCGAGGCTGGCGGCGACCTCGGGTCAGAGCCTCGCCGGTTTGGAGACCTTCTTCCCCGGACAGACGGACTTGGCTCTGACGAACGTGCAGAGTGAAGGCTCCGGCTGCGAGGAGCGGCGGGGGTTGGGCGGGGGGGTTCTGGTTGGTGAGAGAGGGAGGCGTGAGAGATGGGAATGTTGAATTAGACTCCTCCGGAAAAGGAGGTGTAGAGAGCACATGGAACAGACATGTTTATAGCTGGCTTTGGGGAGAGCATGCTATCTTTACCTTCGCTTGCTACTCTGAGATTGCGCTCATCAAACAACTTGTGGTGTAAATAGGGGTATCGACGCCTTGTCCCCATCAAGCAAGTTCTGCCAAATGGTGCTGTTGGGTGGCCGCATAGCAAAACACGTATAAGTACTCCTAGTCTTGTTGAAATCACGGCTGAAATCATACTTGAAACCCGACCGATCGGGGAACATTGATGCCGAAGGATTTTCTTCTGCCCTGGCTCCTCGCTCCAAAAGCTCCAGTGGCGGACCTCCACCGGGGCATTCCGACACCGCCATGACTGCATGACTGCGGGGGAACCGGTTCCTATGTTCTGGGGTCCAACTGCAGGACTATCGCTACCAGCTTTGGCGAGCGCACCTGGGCCCGAAGGGCGTCACGAATGGGGTTGGGTGTTTTCAGTTCCCAGATTGGTGTTTTCCCTTCCCGTGGTGTTTCCTTTTCCCAGATTGGTTTTTTCGGTTCCCGTGGTGTTTCTGGTTCCCAGATCTTGGTGTTTTCAGTTCCTGGATTGGTGTTTTCCTTGCCCAGTGCTCCTGTGTTGGTGTTTTTGGTTCCCAGGTTTGGGTGTTTTCAGTCCTGGACAATGTGTTCCCTGCCCGGCTCCTGTGTTGGTGTGCCCTTTCACGTGTTTGTTTGTCAGCTTTCGTTTGAATTTCTGGCTACCATTGCCCACCGCTGGATTTGAAAGCACGTACTCGTGTCACACAATTAAACAGACAATGAACACCGCAAAGCCGTCAAAGCCATTCGCTGTAAAAACATGTCAGTTTGCGTAAACCCACTGCCGCAAAAACACAAGGTACCCGGTGACACCATCATAACCGCGCACTGTACGAACACATAGCCGAAAGCATACAGAGCTTCGTTTTTGGCCATGACGCGCTGGGAGACCCTCAGCGAAGAAGACGAGGCAGGTGGCACAAAGTTATCTATCATGTAGTGTATCGCTCCTACCATGCCGTTACACCGCTGGATTTGAAAGCACGTACTCGTGTCACACAATTAAACAAACAAAGAACACCGCACTGTACGAACACATAGACGAAAGTATACAGAGCTTCATTTTTGGCCATGACGCGCTGGGAGAACCTCAGCGAAGAAGACGAGGCAGGTGGTACAAACTTATATCTCTATCATGTAGTGTATCGCTCCTACCATGCCGTTACAATTTGGCATGTAACCTTGTACCAGGCCAACTGGTGCTGGACCGCCAAAGACTATTAATTTGCGCCAGCACTGTGCCCTTAGGGCCCTTACAGTGAAAACACCAGCTGGTCGTCGTTGTTGGTCGTCGTCGTTGTTGTGGTTGTTGTTGTTGTTGTTGTGGTGGTCGTTGTTGCTGTTGTTCATGGTGGTCGTGGTGGTGGTGGTGGTGGTGAAGAAGGTGGTGGTGGTGGTGGTGGTGGTGTGAAATATAGTCACCAATAGTGGTCCCCTCTCATAGACAACCA